ACCTGCCAACTGGCATCATCGTTTGCAAAGCGCCGAACGCTGCACAAGGTCCACAAATAAAGACTGCTTAAGCCGTCTGGGAGAGTTGCTTCAACTTCTCGGAGAGTCACTTCAACTTATGGTATAACACCCTTTATCCCCTCGTTTCAATACGTCCGTAAGCGCGTTCCGCCAGTGATGTCCCCGAATTGATGAATGATGCTTGCACCTCCATACATCAGTCTAGCTTCACGAACGCAACTCGAAATGCTTCGAGATATGATAGCCAAATTCAACCCCTGTTAAACTCTCTAGAAGACGGTCGCAAAATATACACGTCGCTCTTTTCCGCGTAGTTAACACGGCCATGCCGGACAAATACTGGAAAAAATGGGTCCTGCAGATTCTCAAGAACATTTCAACAGCTATCAACTGTGTTTGGCAAATGCGCATTAACGGGGAGTGCTCTGAAACCACACATGCGAGCTTTGCAAAGCCGATTATCCGAGAACAGAATCCCGACGCTCGAGGTGCAACAGCAGATTTGACTGCCTTAGCTTCGCCTGTTTGGACGACATTCGTCGAANTCCCGACGCTCGAGGTGCAACAGCAGATTTGACTGCCTTAGCTTCGCCTGTTTGGACGACATTCGTCGAATCTCGCCGATTAGCGTTTGCTTTACGTATTTAAAAAGTACCACCCACGCCTTTCCAACGGCCCGTTGCATCTAATGGTGGCATCGAGTGTCACCTCCTCACATGCCCTGAGCTAAAGAAGGAGGGACTTCCACAGATTCTCAATTCACGGCTACACTCAGAAACAACGCGTGGAAACTGATGGCCGAACGACACGCGAAAGGATTCAAGTTCCATGCACCGTGAAATGTTCGGAAGAAGTACTTCAGATGAGTGAAGAAGCCTGGCTTGTCAGAATTGCTAATGAAATCAAAATCAATAGCAGCGCCACATGCCGTCGGCTTCAATGCGAAATACGCACTAAGCTCAAAAAGGCCTGAAACCAATGTACCGAGCACTCGAGTGGCAATTACGAATTGCAAATAGAGAAGCATGTAACAGCGAAATATAACAGGCGCCTCCGTACGCGCAACTCACGCACCACGATTTCTGTGATATAAATACATTTTCCGGATCATCTGCCTCACGGAACAGCGCGTTCTGATACCTTCTTACCGTCACCTGCGAGACAGAGTGCATCAGGCTACGACGGCAGTAACACGCTGCATTCGCCAAAGAAGGCAGTCCTACGACACGGTTTTGTCCCCGCGGATACAACCCACTGACAATTCAGGATGAGGACTGGATAGTTTCCCGCTGCAAGCATCTTAGCCTGCTCCATGCAGGTCTCAAAAGTAGCAGAATTCCCGTGTAACAACAGTTCCGGGCGATACGTTACAGTTTATGTAATCTCTTCGAACATGTTGGTTATCCGCTAGCCCGCAGCTGTAAGTTTTCCCCAGGCTTTCCTGCTCTATACCTTTGGGTGACACGGGTACCCAGGTCGTGTTGACCAACACCTACGCTGCAGGGGTCTGGACCTCCATCTGCAAGCCTTCGCCAGCTTGCCCCATATGTTCTCGAAGCTTCCTCGGATTGTAGGGCCTTGAAGCACTGAAGGAGCAGAAACGCAGTAGCGATTGTGGCAGCCAGGAAGGCAACCACAAACGAGAGCGACCTCAAGCGTTCCCTTCTGCGCATCGGTGGAGAGGCGCTCTGATCCAAGATTGGGACTTCATGGTTACGGAAAATGAGCTCAGAGCTGGGAACAGGAGCTGCCNGGCGCTCTGATCCAAGATTGGGACTTCATGGTTACGGAAAATGAGCTCAGAGCTGGGAACAGGAGCTGCCTGTAGTAGAGCGCTGTCAGATGACTCTGCTAGCAGTGCCGCGGAGGCGGCGAAGAATGCCCAAAACACACGCATCTTTCGGGTCCAATTGACGTATTCCCTTGTTTTCTAAGAGGAATGAAACAGGACCCTTATAATTTCAATGTATATGCAGAGGACGTGTTTTGTAACAGCTTCAGCCCCGCAGTTCAGAAGTGCGCAAGCTTGCAATGGGCATCTCTGCAGAACTCCACTGCACGCTACTTCTGCACATGAAAAGAGCACGCACGTTACTGTAGTACTCTTGAATTATATTTTCCAAATGTCATGAAACTAAGGTTCTGCCATCGGCATTCTCTTTATTCGAATGGGACGAACTACACTTGTGTCACGTAGACCACCTCTCCGGCGCTCAACCGGGCGGATATCGATACCTGGAAGAAGTATGTCTTCAACTGTTGGCCTGTGCTCGTCACATTTAGATGTTGTAAGGGGAAAAAAATGCCAAGTGCAAGGGAAAGTTGAAGCCACGTTGCCTTATTTCTCGGAATTAGAGTCCGACATGAATCGAGTCTCAAGTTCGTCTACAGATTCCTACTTGCGTGCAGGCTGGCCACTGAGTGCCAATCAAGTGCTCAACAGTCGTCTGTAGCGTGAATGCATGCAGCAACAGGGCTTGGTTGTGAATGCATGTGGAGGTGCCTTGCAGCACGAGTTGTATCAGGGTAGGTTGCAGCTAGCGTCAGGCCGCCTCCTCTCCGCCGACCTCAGGCCCTTGAGCCACCCGTCTCAGGCAGTTGCAGTTCGTGTCACGCTGCCTCCTCTCCCCTGGCCCCAATCCCGTAAGCCGCCGGTCTCAGGCGGCCTGGTGACAGGTGACGGGCTGCTTGTTGGAACTCTCACCTACCGAAGGTTCCTCGGAGTATAAGAGTTCCAGCGCCGAAGTTCTTCGTCTTACCCGAGGTGTAGCGAGAGTCTTCGGTTCTATTCGCGCTCTAACGGGAGTTCTCGGTCCTGTACGGGGACAGTCGCGAGCAGCAGTAGAATCAAGCTACTCAGGGTAACACTTTCCCCAAAGCAGCTGGCCTCATCTCCACTCCAGTAGAACTGTTTGTTAGTTTCTTCTGGGGTGCTTACACCTGTATATTATCACCTACGGCCTGGGACCAGTGGCCCAAGTGCCTGGGACCGGGTGGGACGAATTGTAACGCACCTTGCTGCAAGGTCCTCAGCAACAAAACCCCACATGCATACACAATCAACCGGCATTGCTGCATGCACTTACACTATAGACGACTGTTGAGTAGTTACTTTGCCATCAGTGGCTACCCTGAACATAGGCAAAAATGTACAGACCGAGGTCAATGCTGCAGCTTGAGTATTTGGACTTTACTGCAACTCGCAACTGTCCTCGTATCAGGCTGCCCACTATCGTTACAGCTTTGCTTTCACAGACTAATTCTTCTTAAGCTGGGACCAGTACATATAGCTCGCTTGGCGCCGCAGCCGACTGCAGTCTCTTCATAATTTGGCGCCTGGACCCGTACATTGGGGCTGGCCCGAGACCTGCTCACACGTCTACGGAATCTGCTCGGTGGCAGCCGCCCAGTTTCCGGTCCCAATATGTTGAATTGCCCGCTCCAGAAGGCANAATGTGCAGCCTGGAACGGAGTAGCTGACGAGTCACCGCTCCACTGAGAAGCATCAGACACGACTCACGGTTGGGTAGAAGCAGCTTTACAGCATATCGGCATACCAGGATGCCTCTTGCCCCTTCCCCTTTTTTAATTCTCTTCCCCTCTTTATTCTGGACGGGACCCACGAGCGCGTGCGCCGTCCAAAGGTGGAAAGCGGGGGGGAAGGTATCGGGGCACATGTAGCACGGCCTGCGCGAAGTTGGTCCGGGTATTTCCACTTGCGAACAGGCTGGCTACTGAGGGCAAAGTGAGCGTTGAAAGAAGGTCAACAGTGTTAGTGCATGCAGAAAAGCTTGCTTGTGCATACATGGGGGGTACCTTGCTGTACGAGCTGCACCAAAGTGCGAGGTGCGTTGCAACTCGTGTCAGGTAGCCTCCTGCCTCCCGCTCCCAGGCGCTTGGGCTGCCGCGCTCAGGCATGCGGACTGGGGAGCTCGTCAGTGCTCAAACAAGATGGGGGGCTCTCGCTACAGGTATCATGCAACTAAAAAATCCACAATGAGTTATGAGCCGCATGCCACCCCACCTACCGGCCTAAAAATTTCTACACCCAGGCCTTCGCGTTTTGGTGGGCAAAGTTGCTGACGTCTGCAGGTAACGGGCCGCCTTCTGGGTCGCGCATTGCGTCGGCTATTGTTGGTATGTCTTTCTGAGACGAGTACACACTCCAGGAATCCGAAACAAGTAACTAGTAAATTCCCTAAAGAAAGCTGCATGCATGCGCTTCTGTTGCTAGGAGTTTACCTCGCCGACATCCGCTGCCTGGAACCGTGAAACATCTACGTCGAACCCGGCAACATCATCGTCCATTTCCAGCTTCATACCAGTGCAGATGTCCTGCGCAGGACGCGCAACCACACGAAGGCGCCGGCTATATTAGCTCTGTACAATGCAAGCCAATTATTATTTTCGGTTAGTAGAAGCCCCATATCTAAATCGTCCTGCTCGCCCATCCACGCGTCCTCACTCCATTCATTGCAACAGGCACCATTGAACGATGGACGCTGTAAACAGTGCAAAGCCGGCAAGCACACCAAATGCTCCTGTATATGCATCAAATAATGGGAGGTCACAGCAGAGTCTCACTCGGAGCTGGCTCAGTCTTCTCCAACTCTTCAGATCCCGGAAACGGAGATCCACAGCACAGGTGATATGCTGACGTAAGGATGGTTCGGTTGGCGTGGGAAGGAGACGCAGGACAGCCAGGACGTCCCGTCCCTCTAGCCACCGCAGTCGGGGTGCTAGTTGTCTGCAGCGCGCAGCAGCGCAGGAGTAACAAGAGAATGACCTCTGTACGGACAAGACTAGAATAGTCTATGTGCAGGAGATTGCAGAGCCCCTTACTGCAACAGCGCAGGTGGGGCTTCTTCTCCAAGAGCCGTCAGGGACTGCAACAGTCGCGCCAGAGACTTCCCCACTTGTCGCTCGAGATGGGCGTTACGAGCCGTCCCAGGCTCTCCTGCTTCGGCCGGGTTCTTAGCCTGTATACCACAACACAACAAAGTGCTGGCATTTCAATGATACCAAAGGCAAAGCCCTATATTATGTAAGCACATGGGAGACTACCAGCTGTTATGCATGCCTCCGTCAAGCCCGTTTTCTGAGTATTCAAAAGACAAGTCCCTTCTACGTTCTCCTGTTCTACGTAGTGTACAGAGTGGCCCTGCAAGGAAGCAAGCAATTCGTTAGACAGTTTCACCCCACCCTCTGCAGCCTTGAGCAGACAAGGTCACATAGTTTCTTCACGTAGCGCTGTGCTACTTCCGGCTGCGGATGGCTGCGAAAGACCTTCGCTGCGCTACCTGCTGCAGCGACGGAGAGGCGTCCATAGAAAAACTTTTCGTGGGGAGTCTCAGACTTTGGTGAAGATGGGTATTGCTGCACGTCGTGTGCTGCAGCTCCCGGTGCCGGCGACTCCATGAGATAGCGAGCCACATGACAGAACCGGCGAGACAGCTGCGCAGACGATAAAGTTGGGTGTTTACACGGGTCGGCCGGGGGAGTTGCAGGGTAAGAAGGATCAAGCGACACCTGCAGCAGCACAGCAACCGTCACTACGTTGCTGGGGCTTTCCCCATCATTGCTTCACCACCCCAGCAAAAAGCACAAAGATCCGGTTGTCCAACGTCTACCTCGCTCCACAACAATACGCCGCTGCAACATTTGAAGGGAGCTTCGCGTGCTAACAAAACGCCCATCTAGGACAATTCCTCAATTCCCGCATTGCGTGCAGGCTCAACGCGAATACTGTCTAAAACCAGCAGCAAACAATGCGTCGACTAATAGTACATTGTTCGCTGTTGTGCCCTTCCTTGTCCTCCTGAGCTATGGTATGCCGCTGCCAGCACTCAGCAGGTCACACCCAAGACTCGCCCCCTTGGCACAAAGACACTACATGTCATAGCTTACACGTTCACGCTCTTCCTCTGCAGCTTCAAGTTCCTTCCGCATTCGCGCCAGTTCCATCAGAAGAGCCGGCAACAACTCGGGGTCCGCCTCTGGGGGAGGTGCAGTGCACAGCGGCAGGAGCCTCTCAAGACATTACGTTGCTCAGGAATCTATCGCAACCTGACTATGTCGCTCACCTGCCAGAGTTCACCCCAACCACTGACGTGCCCCAAAGTCCCCTTTAGCAACCTAACTAACCTTTGATAAGTCCCTTCATTAGCAGGTCCAGCCATAGGCAAACACCCGGGTCAGAGCGGTAGCGACAGACCGCCAGTATCAGTGCGTTGGCTCCTACGGTCTCTGCAGTTGCGGAGATTGAAGCGTAGAGCTTGCGTGCCTTTTCTGATAAGGCGGTACTTCTATGATCGTGTCTGCAGGAGGGTCCAAGATAGGAGACTGATTCCTCTTCAGTCGCTGGAGTGCTATCCGGCCATCGCAAGCCTTTAGAAAGAAAACCCTCGCGGTACCCATCGACGAATGACTCTGCATCCAAACAATGACACGCNGCTCCTGGTTACAGTCTGCGCACTCTTCCCGGAAGAAGTGGAAACCTTTACCAGCAGAGGAGAAGACATGCAGCAAGATGCCCTGCACCACGAGCAGCTCCGCGCCTCCCAACAGCGTCTCCTTGTGGCCACCATAGTTGTTTTCATATAAGATGGACGCAGCGAGAGCAAGGGCGCCGCGGCAATCCAAGTCCTTGAGGTCTTTCAGCACCTGTAAAATTGTCGCTTCAGGAAGAGACGCCAGTGAGGCCGGAGAGGTCAAGAGAGCCCGCACGGATGCAGCAGCGGCGGCATCGTTCCCGTCTCCCCCTCGAGACGCCACGTCCTGCAGGATTTCTGCGCACTCCAGTGGCGTCAAGTGCGGACCTCGCTGCTGCAGTTCCTGCTGCAGCGCGCGCGTCAGGAGGTCGTGGCTTAGGCCCACTGAACGGAGTGCAGAGTCCACCGCAGACAATTCCGTCAGTGAAAAGCATATGGCCGCTCGAGCAATGACAGGAAGTACCGCTCTGTAGAGAGCAGCATT